CTTCAGGTATACTGGGCCGAGACCATTTAGAAAAAGCCATGACTGTTTTAAGTCATACTTTAAATGTACGGTGTGAAGTCACCTTGGGCTCTTCCTCAGAATCCTACACCAGCAAGGAAACAGATCTCTCACCTGTTCCTTTGGTCTGCAGTCAAGCAAAGGTAAGTAGCAAAGGAAGAGTGGTTGAAGCTGTTGCTTGGGGTTTAAGTATACTTCGATCAAACCTAACTTCTATGGGAAGGGAAGGGGCTTACCTAGTGAGTAACAGAACACCGAAACCTTTGAACTGTTGTTTGTACATATCTTCTGGTTTACTACTACCTTCCTGAGACACAAGTTTGAAATGAAGAGGACACAACCTTAACCTTACAGTTCCTGGATCATAAATTTAATCTTAAAAGAGATAATTGTCTGTATGAAATCTGGTTCCTGCTTATAGAAGGTTTATAACTAGATATTTCTGGCATATACAAAGTTAGGTTCATATTGTTACAAAGTTTAAGGTAAGAATTCACATACCGGTAACTTGTTGCTGTAATAAGAATCCACAAGCATGTTTTATTTTTATAACAGGTTTGAAAATTCAGAAAGAAAATTGTCCTTTGAACGTCTTACCAAAAATGGAGTGATCTATTCATGATCACAAAACTGGCTTACAATTTAGAAGTGTCTGGTCAATAAAGGTGCTAAACATGTTTCTGTGACAGAGAGTGACAATCATATATTCCCAGTGCTCAGTCCTTCAGTTTTTAAAATATTTTATTTTCTGCTATGAACTTTTATAAACGGTTATGAACAGGTGTGTTCTGCAATAAGGTCATTTCAGTGAACATTAACATGACTGTTATTTACACAGCAGAAAGGGTGTTCCTTGTTTTAATCAAAGCAATGTGACATAATCAAAAGTGAAGTGAGACCATTTAAACCTCCTTGGCTCATCTGTAGATTTTTCTTTTTAAAATCCTGCATGTCTGTCTAAGCAGGAACAAGCCCTAGAGGAAAATGATAATCACCACACTAAGGGCATGAACACATGACTGCAGTGAAAAATCAGAGTGACTCAGGAAACTCTGAAAGAAGTGCCTTCATATTCCCCTGAGCTAAAGATACGTATTATCAAAACAAAGAATGTATTGTAGTCGTTTATTATTTATTTATCATTTTTATAGTATGCCCTTCATCCAAAGGTTGCAGGGTAGAAATGCATACAATTGAAACCAGAAGTTAAACAATAATATTTAAACAAGCCAACATAAAAAAACAGCAGCAGCAATTTTTAAAAATTGAGTCCAGTGTACCTCACCCTTCCCCAAAAGCCTGAGCAAAGAGATGCATCTTCACCCAATGAAAAAGCAAGACCAATGTCATGGTGAGATGCAGTTCAGAAGAGAGGTCATTCCAGAGGCAGGGAGCCAGTACTAAGAAAGCACACTTAGTCCCTACCCCATGGATCTCACTGGGTGATGAGAACACTACCACTAGAGATATTTGTGCACAGGCAGGGTGATACGTTCTTTCAGAAACTTGGGATTTACCGTAAGTTTGTCACAACCCTTGAATCCAGCAGCAATCCAGACACAAGAGTCAAAGGCTGCTGAGGCATCAGATGAGGAAACCAACCAAGCTGGAGGCTCTGACTGGAGGTCAGGAGAGCACTGCACCCAAGGAGGCCAGATAGGAGCCGTCAGAAGAATATCCAGGCCCATTAGACACACTAGGTGTTGAGGCAGGATTTTGGCAGGCACCTTCCCTTCAGCCTGGGGAACCAAATGGCTCCCACAGTACCTCAGTGCTCCAGCAGGACAGGGTGCTCACAAGGCAGAAGGTGATGGAAGGGTGAAGAAGGGCAGATTAGAGGGTTGGTCCTTTAAGAATCTGAAGACTCTTAAAGTGGGCAAAAAGGTAGTCTGGAGGCAGAGGCTTAGAAGGCTCCAGTCTGTTCTCAGCTTCTGTCAGAAGTTCAGAACAAGTCACCGACTCAGGTCTATCAGTGGTCCTGCAACCTGCCCTGCTCCATGGGAGTGGGTGTCAGAGCAAAACACAACAAATGTAATCTACTGCAGACTGCTTTCTCTGCTACACTAATGTTTCTTTCACAAAGAAACTGTGCTTTCTACCCACCCACCCTGCAAAAAAATTCCATTTTCTACATGAGGGCCCTAGATCCATGTGCCTACACTGCCATTGAAGTTATAAAATCACTACCCTGAAGTCTGAAGTCAAACAGTTCTTGTGATTGTCTTTCAGAAAGGCCATGAAACCCAGCTCTTTCCCAAAAGTCTCTGACAAAGTGGGCATTTCTGATTCTGCAAGAATGCACCACTTTTGGCTGCTGCCATTTATGTAATTTTAAATTGTGTTTTGTTAATATTGTGTTATTTTATTGGAAGTAATCTCAAACTTTTTAAAAGAAAGATACAAATGTTCTAAATGTGTGTGTGTGTGTGTGTGTGTGTGTGTGTGTGTCACAAATAGTTATACACAGAGATTACCTTTGCTAAATTATTTCTCCAGCTATAGAGGTTTGGCAACAGTGTATCTGACATTGCTCAAGAATTCTGAGAAACTAAAAAAAAATCTGTGTAGTTTTGAAGTCAGTAGTTAAAAGCAATGGTTTAGAAACATTCAGTCCATCATCTTGAATCAAAATGGCATCCAATCATACCCAAACACAGAACAAAATCTGCTCCTTGATCACAGACATCATCATGCCAAATTTGGTAATGATGGTTTAAAAGGTGTCCAAATGCATAGAGAACAGATGAATGGAAAAACTACTTTCTGAAACAAATAGATACAAGAACTGAGAGAATCTTTGTCACAGAAATTTGGCAACATCCCTTCCCGCCCTGCCCCACCCCCCAAAAATACAGAAGGAAAAAAATTATTACACTTACTTAGTCCTCTCTCCTTCTATATTTATCCAAATTACAGTGCAAGTAAGGGGGGACTTTATTAACTAATTCTGAAATATTTTATCATGCTTTAAAAGCTGCTTCTTTTCTACATATATTGCAATTCCTCTTCTGACACAAACACTAACATTAGAGTTTAGTGGTTTACACAAGATAGCAGCTTTGTAAATGATCTGAAATTCATTAAAAATTGACCATGTTTCTCAGTGTTTGAATAAGGATAACCAATTGTTTACAAAAACCTAATTAGTTTAATTAGGTATTGTATTGATGTTTGGCACCTTAGGATGCAAAATCCTTTGCCAGATAATGGATTCCACACTTTCAGCAAGCATGCCTTGCTTAGAATGAGAAGTCCCCAAGGAACACTGCTATTTCTGCCAAAGTATGTGGACATAAAAGAGTTTTCAGACAAAAACCGTTGGCTATTCTTTATCTGAGGCTGCATAATTTTACATGAGCTATCACAGGCATCTAATAATCCTAAGAGCTTATTATTTATTTGTACATGGTGTGCAAATTGCTCTCCTGAGCAATTGCTCTCCTGAGCACTGAAAGGATGACCCTTTTTACAAAAAGTGCAAAGATTTTCCAGATAGCTTCTCCACAAGCAGCTTAAAAACCACCCTATCAGAGAGTTAGCTACCATCACCTGCTGAATAAAGAGCAGTTCAACTCTACCATGGTTAAAAGGCCCAAGGTGTGATGTGAGATAATATCGGTTGTACAGACTCCCCTTTGATCAAACCACACAAGCTGTACTTTAAACAAATGTTTGTTTTATTAACAGAATATCTAGAATATCTAGAACATGAAATTGTATTAAAATAAACAAAAAAAAAGTTACTTCTCATTTCTAAACTTTCCCTACTGATGAATATAGCAGACATGGATCAGCCTAAAATCATCAATCTTTCCTTCTTCCCTCCTGGCAGATGACCAGCGCAAACTTCAGGCAATTGAAGACTCTGAGCACAAGATTCGGCTAACCCTTTATAGATTTTTGTGCAATGCCAAAATTTGACACAACGTACTCCATCCTAAAGCATATTTGTGGTGTTCCCAAGGCTCCACACCCAGTGCGACCAAACTGATCATGCACCCCTAAATCTGCCTCTGATACGTGCATTTAGATCAGGAATGGCGGATAAGAAACCTATTAGTGATATTTTGGTTTGTTGTTATTTGCACTAGTATAGAAGATAATATGGAATTCCTTTGTTGTCACGTCTCTTTCGTCCATAATTATTGCTGCTCTAGCCACCTCCAGAGTCCTCTGCCTGAATCCTGTTTAAATTTTTTTTGTTAGATTAAGGGTTCAGGTGGAAACGACAACAATCTTAACTCGGAGAGACATCAAAATGGCAGTGATGCTTGGTCTTTCCTATGCTTAGTCAAGCACAAGTCGCGTAGCTGCTCCCATGCACTATAATACAGGATTAGTTTCTCCGTTATTTATGCTATTTCCATAAATCTCATTCACAAATCAAAACATGGAGGCTGCATTATATTTAACCGAGGAATATTGAACAGGTGACAAAATTCATTCTGCTCACATTGAACTAGCATTATTTTCCTCCCCTGATCTTCCTTATTAAAACCATAATTAACTTTCTTTCAAGAAAATGGAACCAATCAAGCTCATTCGGCGCCTAATGAGTACCTTTTGTTCTTGACCGTGACTGAGCAGCTCTGCACTCCCGAGCGCGGCCGATTTATTGAAAAATGCATTACATGGGATTAAACTGGATTTCCTCCTTTTTAAATCTACCCTGGCAGATCCGGCGCGCAAGCCAGCTGCATCTCCTCTCCGCCGAGGACTTAGGTTTCCCAGGGAGCCTTGGATTCTGCTATTCCGGTAACAGACTGGAGCGGGGAGGGAGGGATCCTTCTCCGGGGGAATCCCTCCCGCCGCCCCCTCCCTTTGCTTTGGGATTAAGTACTTAAGGACACGGCAGGAGGGTGGTGAGGGGGAAGAAGAAGAGGAAGGCAGGCGGGTGGGTGGCACAATCGTCACAGTTTGCAGGGGGGGGGCGGGTTGATCGTGAGCCGAGATGACAAGGAGGGAGGCGGCGGGGGCAGAGGAGCGAGCAGGCGAGGCGGAGATGAAGGGGCGGAGAGCGGAGCGGTGATGAATTGGAAAGATGACACGAGGCCCGGGATGCGTATATTTTGCTGCGGCGGCGGCGGCGGCTGCATGACTCCACGACGTCAGCAGCAGCCCCGGAGCCGCGGCGCGTCACGGTGGTCTCCCCCTCCATCGTGCCGGGGTCTGCGGGAGTAGGGCTGCCACCGCCAGACGCCGAGCTCAGCGGGCAACTCACGGTCACAGCAGCGACGTGCGCGCTCGGTTGTTCCCGCGGCCGCGAACGAGAGGAACGTCTTCCCAGCACCGCGGGAGAAGAGAGGCGCCGCGCCGCGCCGGGCTCCGAGCTGGATCGCGACCCGTCGCGTCTGCAAGCCGGCCAAGGTGAGCCCCGCAGCCCAGCCCCGAGGTAGCGGGAAAGGTGCCCAGGCGCGCCATGGCGCCGCCGGAGAGCCGGCTGTAGCCGCCGTGAACGGAGGCTCCTGCCCGACGGCCCCCTCCGAGGAGAGCGCCCCGCCACTGCCGCCGCCATGGACAAGGCCGGCTCCGTGCACGCGTCGGTGCCCACGCCGCCGCCGCGCCTCTACCTCCCGCGCAACTTCAGCTGCAGCGCCTGCCTCTACGGCAGCCTAGCCGACCAGTGCAAGGGGGGCTGCAGCCCGGAGCCCGAGCCCGTCGAGGGGCCGCTGTCGTCGTCGTCGTCTCCGCCGCCCTGCTCCTCGCCGCCGCCGCCCTCCCCGCCGGTGACCCCAGAGGCGGCGGCTGTCGCCCCCCCGAAGCCGCCCCCGCTGCCCGCCCCTCGCTCCCCGTCGCCGCCGACCTCTCCTCCGCCCGCCTCGCCCTCTTCCCGCGGCCGGGAGCCCACGCTGCCGTCGGTGCCTCCCAGCCCGACCCTCCGGCGCCGGGCCAAGTCTCTGCCCACGCCGGGCGAGCGGGGCTTACGGCCGGCGCTGCAGCAGAGCCCGTCCCGCCGCAAGACGGTGCGCTTCGCCGACTCGCTGGGCCTGGAGCTGATCGCCGTGCGCCACTTCTGCCAGGCCGACGTGCCCCGGGTGCCGCCGGCGCCGCTGGCCGCCTCGCCTTTCCCGCTGCCGCCGCGCGCCGCCGACCTGCTCAAGACGCGCAAGCCGCCGTCGCTGGGCGAGCTGGAGCCGGTGCTCTTCGGGCCGCCGGCGCCCGTGCTGGAGCCCCTCTTCCCGCCGCAGCCGGGCGCCAGCGCGGGCTTCGCCGAGCGCGTCCGGCAGCACAAGGTGAGGCTGGAGTGGGTGCGCCCCGAGGCGTCGGGGCTGCGCGGCGCCGTGCGCGTCCTCAACGTGGCCTACGAGAAGCAAGTGTCGGTGCGCTACACGCTCAACCGCTGGGCCAGCTGCAACGAGGTGCCCGCCGCCTACCTGCCGCCGCCGCCCAACGGCCACAGCGACCGCTTCGCCTTCCACCTGCCCGTGGGCGCGGGCACCACGCTGCTGGAGTTCGCCGTGCGCTACCGCGTGGCCGACGCCGAGTACTGGGACAACAACGACGGCCACAACTACCGGCTGCGCGCCAGGCAGAGGCCGGCGGCCGCCTCGGGCCACGAGCCGGGCGCCGGCGCCTGGATCCACTTCATCTGAGGAAGGAGGCGCGCCGGCCGCCCCGCCGAGGTTCTCCGACGGCTCGAGGGGCCTCCTCTCCACCTTGCCGGAGAGCAGCAGGCTCCTTTCCCTCAACGGATATGGCGACACCCAGGAGAGTTTCTTTTAGGATAGGGCGCATGGTCAGACGTGAGGACCGAGGAGGAAAATGACCCGTCGTTAAAGGCAGAGCCGTGGGGTGGCTCTTCTCTGTTACGCTCATCTTTCCTTATGGCCAGTGGATGTGGAAAACAAGAGTCCAAAAGTCCCCTTTCCAAATTAACCTCCATTGGATTGCAGAATAGGTAATAGCTTTGTTTGTTTGTGGCTCACTTTATCCATCTCCAACCACCTTTGAGTTGCCCTCCAACCAGCCTTGATCAAATCTCTCTTGGCAAGGAGGCTTGCAGTTCTAATTAGATATTTAACGGGAGGTAAGCACCATGACAACTCCAGCTTAGTACTCACGCAGAGCAATCTCTGGGTATAGTAACACCTAGTACTGCAATGAAGGCAGGCATGATGGAATGCTCCTGTATTTAAAATAAATAAATCTCTCCACCATGAAAATTGGCATGTCAGAGAGACATGCTAGTTTTCTGTGTGTAGGGATTTTAAAAAGACACTCCCATCATATGAGACATTCCTGCAGTTTGAGGCTGTCCAGCCCAGACATAGGTTAGCTTCCTCAGTGAGGAGTACAGTAGGTGACATACATTAGACCATAAACGGAGAACTCACTGTAGAAACTCACTCACTGCATTTTGCTTAAGTGTAGAATCTTCTCCCATATCTGGATCAGGGAGAACCAGCCTGCAACTTGCAGCAAGAGCTGGCTGTTCTCAGTACTGATTGGCTGAAAGCTAAGTGACATCACTAGCCCACATTTCCCCTTTTCGCTGAAATAGGTTTTCAGCAAGAAAAAGAAACAAATCTGCTCCTCTTTTTAAAAAGAGGAAAGAGGGAGTGAATATACGTTTAAGCCAATCAATGTGCAAGCAGTGTCTTTCAAAAGATGGCAGGTAGCCTGCCTGAAGCAGTGGGAAGGGCAATGCAGATTACTGAATCAGTACAATTGATTTGTCTGCATCTCGAATGGGGGAGGAGGGGTGAGCCAGGCTCAAGCTGCTGGGGGGGGGGTTGGGGAACACACATGATCTGCACGTCCACTTGTATCGCCTAGTGAAATGTGTTTAGGTCTGGGTGGTTTCAGTTCACCATGATGTGAGAAGAATCTGCACAGAAACCCCAGTCTGTAGGGATGTGGTCTGTTCATTGCTAGAATTCAGCAGACCACAGCGCTGCTCTCTCAGTTCCACTGAGGGTTTTGTATGTGTCTGCTCTTGAGAGGTTATCCAGTGAGGTTTCTTTCCAGATCAGGGAAGACCACCTGACTTACTCAAGCCCCACAGCCTTCTCTTCCTCAAGCTGGTCTGGACCACGAGGACCTTGTCTCCTGTTCTCATGCGGGTACCTTCTCCTCTGCCGTTCTTCACTTGCTGTGTCTTGAATTGTAAGATGTTCCCTTATTTATATACACCATCAGATGATATTTTCAAAATTGTGTGTTTCCAGGTTAAATACAGATGGTTTATATTTTATATTTTGAGAAATATATTGGGGGGAGGGGAGGAGCTGTTTCAAGCTTCCGTCAGAGGAACAACTTGCAGGCAAAGTACGGGAAAGTAGTGTTGTAATAACTTGCAAGGGCAACGATTTCTTACACTGTAAGCTTCCTCCTGTTTTCTGTTATGAAACAGCTGCTTGTAGTATAACAACCTAGGATATTACACCAGACTGTAACAGAGTGACAAGATGTGTAAACCAGTGGCTTGATACTATTTTTGACTACGTGTTTGGAGCAGAACTGGAAAACTATTTCCAATTCCTAAGTGTGTTGCCATTTTTAGGTGCTAGAATCAAATTTTGAGGCACTGCAGATGGCTGAATAATTATTTCAAATTTCTGAGTGCTTAGGCTACCTGAGATTGTCCCAATTGCAAACAACTGTTCTGATATGACACCTAAGGGAAATGGTGAAAAAAGCATACAGCCTAACCTGCTTTTTGGCTGTACTTGCAACCTGGGCCTATGTATATGTGTTCTGATGCAAGGGCATTGAGGCTTAGTCTCAAGTCAGTGTGTATGCAGACTTAGGCCAAGAATTTGAAAATGAAAGCATGTGTGCTCTAACAGTTCTGCTGATTCCAAATGACTAGAGATTCATGTATAAATCCTGTACCCAACCGATGGTGTTATGTCTTCCTCTTAGCTTGAACACTTGTCCACAGGAATCTGATGCTGGCACTCTGGGAAGTGAATGTTTTCCTGAGCTCTCTCAGGACTGGCACCTAACAGTTTGGGTAACTGCTTACGAATTTGAAATATTTTTTCCAGCCTTGCTTTCCGGATCAGCCTATTGAAAGTCCACTGAAACTTAGGTGTTCTCTTTGCGTGTACATCAGTCTTTGGCTGCATCAAAATGTGCACTCTTGGTGCGCAACTGGTATTCCTGTAAAGATGTCTTTGAGTTATTCTGTCACTGCTGAAGCTTCTTTATGCTGTGAACCAGTATTATCATGAAATGCATGCAGTATAGCCATGTTTAAGTTGGATGGGAAACAATGGCTGTGTCTACACATAACAGTAAACCATGATTTAGTGCTACATGGATATGAGTCTCTATGAGCCAGAGTGAAGCATCATGCTTATGCACTCTTCCACCCCTGCGGTTGGAAGGAGCAGTTCTATCAAGTTTAGATTTGCTTTAAAAAACAAAAACAAAAAAATTGGCTTAGCTTTATGTACCAACCAAGAATATTGGTCATGAAACTTGCTTGTTTATTTGTTGTAAAGCAGGGTCCCTGGTTTGTACATAACACTGAACTAAGTTTCTGTGGAGGCAAAACAAAACTCAGCAAAAGTCCTTCCACCTGTGTGGGAGAAGAAGAGACGTGGTGGAAGAATAGGATGAGGACAAAATCCAATTCCTTTCTCATTTCAAGGAGAACATACCTCATCTGTACTTTGCTCAACAATCTGTGAACCGAAATGCAGCCATCCTTTGAAATTCACACTTCAATGAATTTTGCAGAACAGTTCCCCAGACAAGTAATGTGAACAAAAATGCACATACTAGGGTAAAGTACATCTGTTAATGAAAATAACATAGAATGTATTATAGCAGGAGATTGAAAGAAAGCACTGTCAACATACTTGCTCATCCGTAGGGGAGAGTGCACAAATCCATCATTTCGCTCGGGCTCATGACGTTTCTTCCACATAGTGCTAAAGCCATGTTTATGTGTTACTTGTGAACTGGACAGGGGAGTATAACACTCAAACCACAGGTCCAAGTTATGTGGATACATGGGGGGAAAAGTCTTGACATTTGGAAAACAGAGTGAAAAGGAATTGAATTAGAATTTTCTTTAGGCAAGGGCTTTCCCATCAGATGCCAGATACTCTAGTCTATTCCCCTCTAGAAATTAGACTCAGAATCTTTCTGTTTGTTTTTAGTTATGTGTGGAAGGACACATAGAATAAATACTGTGTTGAATTTTCATTCCCCCCCCCTCAGTACAGTACAGAGGTGGTGCAGATGTTTCTTTTATGAAAACCCTATTATGGGGAACCTTTGGCCCTCCAGATGGTGTTGAACTTCAACACCCTTCAGCCTTGATTATTGGCCATGTTGGCTGCGGTTGATAGGAGAGAGAGCTCAGCAACATCTGGAGAGTCAAATGTTCCCCACCCCTGCCCTATATCTTATCAGGGATGTGATGAGTTGTAATCCTGTTGACTCAAGTGAGATTGCTCGTTCTTCGGGGTGAATCATGTGTGCTTTTCTGAAGAAAAGAGGCCTTATCTTGATTGTTATTCAGGTGTGTTGCAAGATGGTGAATAAATTTAAGTGAGAACTTAAACCTCACTTTAAGTCCATTGACTTAGCTGCAATGGACATTGGTTGTGTTGACTTTATTCCCTTATCAAAATCCCTCCCACAATGGATGGGCACAAAATATATCCACAAATAGAGCCTGGGCCACTGACGCTGTCAAGAGGGAGAATAATCCACTGAGGAATTTTCCTGTTGCACTCCTCGGAGATGCCGGAGACATTTCAGCGGGGCTGAACTCTCCAGCGGATTGTGGCCTGGGTCTTTTTGTGTTTGTTTATTTATTTATTTATGTTTGGGTCACTTCTTTGCGCCTTAAGACAAGAGAGCAAAATTAATGGAATCTTTTAATGGAATGTCATTCAGATTTATTTATTTTTGCAAGCCATCTCCTTTCTTTTCTCCTTGGAACTTCTTCAGCCCTTATTCAGTGCAACTCACTAGCTATTCCTCATGGAGGGAGAGTTGCTTGGCCTTTGACCAAGTCGGCACCACTTCTGATGATGCAGCAGCCATGCATGGCGACCCAAGAGATGCCAAGCGATTCTGCTTGCCCTGGACTGCAGAAAAAGTCAACCACATGACAGGCTGCTGTGTTAGCTCTGTGGTAGAGCATCTGCTTGGCATGCAGAAGGCCTCTAGTCCACAGCATCTTCAGGAAGGGCTGGGACCCTTGTGTGAAACCCTGGAGAGCCACTGCTGGTCATTGTGGATGGTCGTGGGCTGGATGAACTAGTGATATGACTCAACCTAAGGCAGCTTCCTATGCTCCTAGGCTATAAGAATAAATAAGTTTGTAAATATTCCTTATGCTGCTATTTTTGAAACTCACCTTTGACTGCTGCCTGTTCATATCAGGACCAACGTTCTTAGGAAGGGAGGGCTTTTGGCTTAATGTAAGTTTTTAAGCAGAAAAAAACCTACACATGGTACAAATAATTTGCAGTTATGAGAGGCATATAAAGCAACTTGTAAAGGCAAAATATATTCTAGTAGTTTGAGCATGGCCACATCTTTGGAGCTCTTTTGAAAAACAGCCGTTCTCACAGCTGTTGCTTTGGGTAGGAAGACTGAATGCAGAATCGCAGCACTGCACCAGTCAGCTAATGCCCAGCAAATAACAATCATGCTTCATGCTTCATGCCACTGTTTTAAATTCTGTGGTTCTAAAGGGTATCCTTGCAGCAGCATTGCCGCCTTTTTTTGTTTTGTGTCTGTGCCTTTAACGCCAATAAGAAATTAAGCAAGTGGTACAGTTCCTGGCATGGCAGCAGTCTGTTTCTGAGGGGTGGGGGCAGTTGAACAAGATATTCTCAGTGAGCCCCCTTCTCTACTTCTTCACCACAGTTGCACTGCCCATTCAGTTGCAGCTCCCTCTTGACCCAGTGTATACCATATTGGAAGGGGCATGCAGGAGTTCCTGTTCATTCCCTTTGCTCTAGTCAGTGCCAGCAACAAGCAGCAACAGCAAGGAGAATACAGAGGCTGAGCCTTCCAATGGGACATGGGCACTAGTAAATGCCCAGTGATATCCTATCCTGATGAAATGATAGGAACAGCTTGACTGCTTAATTTCTCTGAACCTGGCCACCTCTGAAGGCTCAGGAGCAACACTAGGAAGGGGGCGGAAAGGTTGCACTATTTGAGAGCTGTGTGCTGCTGCTTGTGTACAGTATCTCTCCAATGCTTACAGTAGCTTTCCAAATGTTAGTGGATTTATGTGTGCATGATAATATGTGGAGCAAGCCTAGAAACAAATATTCTTTTGAGATACTTGGCTTTTGGTCCAGCACATGCTTTAAGCTTGTGTGCTAACTGTATTCCGAGGGGGTGGCAGTGCTTTTCCTCCCCTCCCCTTTTTCTTCCAGAAAGAATCCTTGGACCACTTAGGTTGCTCGAGTTACTTAATCTGGATTGGGTCTCTTGATCTCCCAGCGATCTTTTTTTAGTAAGTGAGCTGGTAGGGCTGATTTCATACTCAAACATGCTCTGAGCCCATGCTTATATTTTTAAGCCTACATGCAAACATTTTCAGGTTCGGGTTCCCAACATGTAAATTGCAAGCAGCAGTTTTCCAAGAGAATATATGGAAAACGACTTAAAGTAACAGCTAGCTACAGTCTGTATTTGTTCAAGTGCAGGGCAGCAGGCAGGGAACTGCTGCAGATCTGTGCTTTACTTTCCAGACAAGGAGACCAAAGCTGGCCAACAACATTAATACTTAGCAATC